TGACCACCACCAGGTAGTATCTTGCCCAAGGATATTTGGCATGCAGCCAGGAGGCAGCCTGGGATCGAACCACCGACCTTCTGATTAGTGGCTGACCTGCTCTGCCACCTGAGCTACAGCCACCCCATATGAAAAAGGACATTCTAGAGCTAGACCTTTTAACGTGGCACACTCACTGAGAAGTCAGAGTCGGATATATATCCTTGCTAAAGCCAGCTACTATTTGACCAGTAAGATGCCAGTGATGGTAACTGATAGGCTGGTGGTGGGAAATGAAGATACTGACCACTGGATGACCTGTGGACTTGGTTGAACACGATTTTTTCACTAACATGAAGGCTAGTGACTTGTTGCAGGTGACTTCAATACTAAGCTAATTACATTAGCTAAAAAAAAGTATTCGACCGGCAGAATAAAAACAAATGTGGCACAGTTCTGCCATCAGCTGTCCTTTGTGTTTCCACACAGTCATTGTATGCACCGTGTCTATTTTACATTTTTACATAGAATTTAGTTTTCAAGTTTTAAACTTGAAACCCTTCTCACCCTCAACTGGTCATGGCACATTGCTCCCACTCCCTGAGCCTGCTTCTGCCGGAGCCTTCTTCAGATGGGAGTTTTTCCTTCCCACTCTTGCCAAGTGCTTCCTCAAAGGGGGTCGATGTTTGTTTGGGTTTCTCTCTATTTTTGTAGGGTCTTCCTCTCAATATATAAAGCAGCTTAAGGGAACAGTTGTTATTGTTATGTTGTGCTGTATTGGAAAAACAAAAGAAAAATATTTGATGATTGTGCTCATCCAATGGATAGTTGGCTAGTCATTTCCCACCTCTGGCCTATCAGTTATTAGGACTTCTCATTGGTAACATTAGTAACTGGCTTTAGCAAAGATACTGCCTCTTTTCAACACTTGTTGCTGCTCCATATTTTAGAGTCATAACACTCTTGGTGACTAATTTACTTGTCAGTTTGATGAGAGAAAATATCAGGTTAGTCTAGTAGTCTAAATGTCAATTCATTAGGAAAATGCATTTTACAACTACCTGCAACTAAGATTGGTGCTGCAACTGCAGCTGGTGGTATCTTAGCATGCTACAAACAATGTTAACTGGTTGTATTATTTGTCTTTGAAAACCGCTAGTCTTTGATTTAATTTATTTTCTGCTGTGTTTTACGTGCATCTATTTGAAAGAGTGAGTGTAAACACAAAAAACTATTTTATTTTATGTGCTGGAATGTGCAGAAAATAGGTTTAAATGTTAAACAAATTTCTTCCAGTCAGAGAATGTTGCATATAATTTAATGTTTGCTTGAAGTTAAAAGATTAAAACGAATAAAACGAGTTTTATTAAAGAGACTTTTCATTTGATTACATTTTATATGATAGATTATGCAGAAAAGGTAGAATTGGGCTGAAAGAGCTATTGCCTTATTACCTATTTAGGGGATAAATCATGTTTTCAAAAGTAACTAATTACTTTTGAAAATAAGTAATCAGTAAAAGTAACAGGATTACTTTTTGCTGGAAGTAATCAATAATTTGTTACTGATTACTTTTTTCAAGTAACTTGACCAACACTGATTATGAGAATGTAAATAATTAGCTTAACCAACTCGTGATGGTACCTGTGTTTTCCTAAAAACATTGGGGGTCTGTAGGCCTGTAAAATGTAGAAAGTAATCACAATAGTATAAAGAAAAATATGTTAAAAATTGAAAAATGTTCAATCGTTTTTGAATTTTATTTTGATGAGCAGAACTATAAAAACAAAATCACTTCTGTGTGACAGCTGCTGGCGTTATCCGTGATAAGAATTTCACAAGTTGCTCTTGACCACCACTCTCTGCAAGCAGACCATAATAAGTTGTCAGGCTGCACAGTGAGTACAGAGAAAGGGGAAGAGGCAGAAAATCAGACAACTGGAGCCAGAAAGAGTAGTGGCAGTGTTTATCTTGAACTACTTAACTCCCTGGCTCTGAGTCAAATGTAGAGAGAGACATTGGGAGATAGTGGAGGCCTTCATTAAATGCAGCTCAGGCCCTGGTGAAACCCTGGTTAATGTCCCTATCATCTCTGGAGTGGTCCAGCATCCAGCTCTCTGTCCAAATGACTCATGTTTAATGCATCTGTGCAGCGCTTGTCATTTAACCTCACCTCCGGAGGTTGTGGGTTGAGGTGGGACGGCGAAGGCTCCCGCAAGGGGCAAAGCGCCATGCAGTTATTCTTTACCCGCTCTCCATTTGCTTAACATGGGGAGAGCTGCTCCATGTCCCCCCTATTGCTGGGTAATCTCCCCAGAACTAACCCCCACCCCGTCGCACTGCATGAACCTGAACTCAAGGGTGGTCTGGCTTGAATATGTGGCTCTCTGAAGAACTCTGTTACTCCCATCCTAGTGTGCTGAATGTTTAAACAGGACACACCTGAGACTTTAACTTAGCAGTCAGCTCTTTTGCTGGACCATGCATAGCAGCGGTCCCCAACCCCCGAGCCTCGGACCGGTACCGGGCCGCGAGAGTTGAGGCTCAGGTGTGAAATGTATAGTTTTCAGGGTTTTTATTGGTTTTCAGCATTATTTTGTTATCGTTTTTATCGTTAACTTGGTTTTCCTGGGTCTTTTTGCGCGTTTTATGAATAAATCTACTAGTTTTATTTTGTTGTATTTATCCGCGACACCTTAAAGGCCGGTCCGTGAAAATAATGTCGGGCATAAACCGGTCCGTGGCGCGAAAAAGGTTGGTGACCGCTGATGTATAGCGTTGGTTAAACACTTTGATAAAAGCTACCAATGAGGAGTTTTTACTACCAATTTTACTAGTTTATGAAATTTATTACGCCATTGCATGACACATCTTACTCCCTTTGATTTTTTTCATCATCATGTTAAGCTCATAAATAAACCTGTCCAGATATTTACAGTCCACAAAAAGACTCACCAACATACATCTTTACCACCGGCAAAGCTGTGTAACGGGATATAAGAGAGCTGATTTTGTTTTTGAGCATTTTCCTCTTATTTTCCCCGCTTACATGCGAAGACAGGCTCTCCTTCTAAACACTCCTTCTCTCTCACTTGCACACACCCACTCAATCTCTGCCTCGCTTTCTTGATCTGGATAATGGTAATTAGAATATCACCATGATTGAAATTTGGCAAAAGTTGAAGAGGAAATAGGTTTTCTAATCAAAAGCTGCCTCATAGCTGGAATCCTGATGCTTACTTGGCTGAAAAATGTTCCTCAACGATGGGGGCCTAAACGGATGCCAGACTGTATACTGATGGCCAACTCTGCTCTTTTTCTACCGATGTCCCCGCTGAGGCTGATATAGCTGATCATGCTGGTTTACATTTATTTATTTTAAAAGTGGGTGTTTTTCTCTAATCTTTGAACTGGCCCACCATAAGTGACATATTTAGTTTCTTAGCTGAATGAGAGCAATAGCTTTTATTATAAAATTATGTTTTTGGCACAGTCTTTGGCGGTTAAAAAGTACATACATCAAAATACATGCATATATGCATAGATAAACGTACCGCAATACAGCAAAAGTCTTAAGCCACCCTTCTTTGCTTTTTTGAAAAGGGAAAAAATGCATGCAAAAATGTATTGAAAGGTGCAAACATACAGTGAAACACAGTATACAAGGCAATTGTAACAAGCTCGAAAGTCAATATTTGTTGCATAAATTTTTACAAACTCCCCAGCACCACTGGCTGAAATGCAACCCCAAACCTCAGCCATGCTTTGCAGATGGCTGTGGGCACTCACTGATGTACCTCTCTCCTGACCTCGTCCTTCATTTCTGTATTGGCAATGATTTGAACCAACAAATTCAGATTCATTACTCCATACGACTGATTTTAGTCCAGTTCTTGTGTAATTTGGCATACCTCTACCTTTTCTCCCTGTTTCCTTTGCTTAAGAATTGCTTCTTGAAAACCATCCTTGCACTGAGGTTTCAGTGAGCAATAGTTGGATTAACTGAAGGTCCAGATGTATCTCTCGGGTTCTGTGTCAGGTCTTCATTGGACTTTTTTTTAAATTTCTTAAAGACATGACTTTCAGGTACTGTTTGTAAGATGTGTGTTTTTAAGCCTTGCTAATTCTTCTTTTACATCTACTAATCTAACTTTTTTCCCGTGCACACCTATGCCAGGTTTTCAGCTAATAACTCTTTTAGGAATCACCTTGTTGTTGCAAAAATACAATTTTTTGCCTGTCAAACTGTGCTACCTTTGCCATTTTCCATACATTCAATTGAGAACATTGGTGTTATTTCACATTGTTTGCAGAAGTGTTTGTTATTCACAGGCACAGCACTGGTTGGGTGCATTTTTAATGTTTGAATGGCTATTAAAAATACAAGAAAGTCTGATTCCTTGGACCTGAAATATAAAGAAACAGGGGTCTCAAACATGCACTGTAGTAGATCTAGTTTTTATGAGAATGTCTTTTTCTCTCCATAGAACAAAAATAAGAACCTAGCATGTTATAAAATGATATAGTTTGGTTAATTTGTAGAAAAGACAGAAAAATGTGTTTGTGCATGGGATTATGTGCTCGACTGTTTCTTGGCTGGGAGCTGGAGCTTCCTGGATGTTCTGCCGGTTGCTTGGCAAACTCACACCGTTGCCTATGATGTAATTCCTTTCTAAATACGGTATTATTCTAATCTGATTCAATCCATATTTCAGTCCTTTAACCAGTAAAAGGTAAAAGCTGTGCTATTTGTATGGCATAGCTAAGAGCTTTGTTCAGTGACTGTATAATGTTTTTAAAAATGCTGTTTTTAATTTTTAATTTTCTTGTTAAAACGCTGAAAAAGCATGATTGTTGTTTCCCTTTGGATTCTTACCGTATTTGTCCTGTACTGTACTTGCATGCACCTTTACGCACTGGGAAATCAACTTTGAATGAGGTTTTAAACGCTAATCTCCCTTTCTGTTTCTCCCCACTGCTTCTCCTCTTCCCACCTACTGTACCCTCCTCCACAAACACAGGAGCTGCACAGGACCCAGGTAAGCCTCCCCCACATCTCCTTTCCTTCTCCTGACCACAACCTCCCACCATATTCGAGCTTTTGTTTCATTTCAAATACATGCTTCCTCTTTCATCTCGTATTTTTGCACTGTGTGTCAAATCTGCAGTCTTTCTCTCAGCATCTCTCAAGCTCACATTTTGATTTTTGTCTACCTCACCCTTGCGAACTCATGCTGCTGTCATTGATGCTGAGGTCTTCTGTCACTTACCGGCATTCTAAGTAGCGCTAGCTTGAGCAACTTAGTACACACTGCACAGAGAGAGAGTTCAATGATCCGAAGGGTCTTATTTCAACAATATATTTTTTCAAAATGAAAGAAAAAGCATTTAAAATTAAAGCTTTTGGGAGGGAAAAAATTGGACTTTGCAGTTTTTCTGTTCTACATTTGTACACACTGACAGTGCATTTATGTCGCAGACTGCTAGTGGCAGTGATTTAAAAATGATAAGAGGATATAGCTTTCACTACTTTGGTATTACATTTCATTGTTGCATTGTCGTAATTACCTATTAAGCTTTCATTCAGGAGATAATGATGTTGCCTTTCAAATCAAATGTGTGTAATCATATTCTTATTAATTTTACATGCGAGCTGGAGTGTTACAATTATTTTGGGAGAGAAAGAGACGAGTACAGAAGGTGAAAGGTGTGGCTGCTGACAGCAAACCACAACCACAGCACGTGTTTGTCTGTGTGTGTGTCTTTGTCAGTAGAGATTTGATAGTTTCTTCCAAACTGAAAAATCCAGAAAGGAGTTGTTTTTGGAAAACGTGCTCAGAGGTGCATGTTACGCTGTTTTAGAGCAACCTGTGTGATCTGTTTTTCCTCTGTAGCCTCTGGTAACGACATCTTAACCCTATATATCGTGGTAAGGTCTGGGGTAAGTCTTCGAGATGATAATGATGATGATTATGGGAGGTTTTTTGTGCTGTTTGTTTGTCTGTATTTCCGTCATCAGCAAGACTGTACAAAAACTCAGCCTGAATTTTATGAGGTGGAATATGGGCAAAAGAAGAACCCATTAAATTCTAATGATCCGGCTCACACTCTTGAAACTTGCAAAAAAGGCAATAAGCATTAGTTTTACTGGATCTCTTGTAGTTATTATTATGATTGTGATTTCAAATGCCTTGAGCTGTGAAAAACAGGAATTTCCATCCTATTATGTTTACTACCACGTTCTTCCTCTATACATTTCTTTAATTTCATTAAATACGAACCTGTTTCTTTCTTTCTTCTCATTTTGAAGCCAAAAACCTTAGAATGTAATTAGGTTCACCCACTGGCTCAGACTGACTCACACAGATTGCGATATGCCTACAGTCTGTCTGTATTTATAAGTCAAACAGTAATTATTTGCAACCCTTCACCAATCTGTCTCAGAGTAATTGCAGTCAGTCCGTGTCAGGCCTCGATTACTTGGAGACAGTTTGTCTCTAACCAGGTGACCTGTCCAATCACCTCGTGATCTAAAATGGATATCCAGAGGTTGGGATTGTTGCCTTCCCAGCCTCTAGGAAACCAGCTGGTTGCTGCAAGCTCTCGCAATGCAAAAATTAAATGCACCGATTTCTCGTTGTTCCATCCAAGTCGAATTGTGCCACCAGTTAAGATACAGATTTCAAAATGCAGCATTTGAGTTTTAGCAAAAAATATTCTGTCTGCTGTGAACAAAAACTCCTGAACAACTATCTGATGTACAAGCAAATAATTTAACAGCTGCTCCACTGAATGAGAAAAGTGAGTAATGTTGGGTATTAAGGCAAACCTGCAGAGCTCCATCCGGCAGTACTTATTGTTGTTTAAGGTCTCTGAGTGATTTAGGCGGCTTAGACTGCAACTGGACGGTGATGCTTTTCAGACAACATCTAGCTTTCTTTGACATTTTAATGTCCCCGACTTGCTTTCTTAAAAAGTGTTTATGTATTACACCATCATATCGACACACTGTGCTATATAATCATTTTGGTGTCCTGACTTATCAGGGCATGAAAGCTGCTCCAACTAATACTGTAAGGCTAAAAGAATATACTACATTATGACATGAGGATGAACTGTCCTCTGTTCCTTCCTTGCTTTGCTTCAGCTATTCCTTTTAAAACATAGTGGCTTTTACTCAGCAATAATTGGGGTTTAGTGCAAAAATCGCCACCTTTCCAACAAAAAATTATGCTGCATATCATGCCATGCTGCCTCTCTTAACGTCTTCACTCCTCCTCTCACCATCTCTCCTCTACCAAGCCTTTTAATCCAATTAGCAATGCCAGTGACAGTTATTTATATGTACATGAATTAGAATTGAAGAGCAGGAGATCCTCCCTAGGGGCTGATTGGACGGAGCCCAGTCCTTCACAGGCCTGTTCTCGGTCACAAACCTGTCCGGTTGCCACCAAGCAGTGGTGGTCTCTCAGCTTATCACATACAAAGCAGCGACAAAAACTCATTGCAACATGCATTGCAAATGACAGTTACCCGTTACCTTGGACTTTATTGTGAAAACCAAATCAGTGGGTACTTTTTATCCCCAGCACAGAAAGACTTTGACCGTGTTGTTTCATCTTTTTTAGTGTTTTCTAAAACCGTCACAATTTAAGAAATATTTGACACATTCAAATTGGGACACTCTAATAAGCTGTCTTCTCGGTGTTCAGGTTCATCTTAGATCTATGTTTCTGTTGCATTCCATTGCGTGGACTGAAATAGTGGGAGTGCCAAATGAGTGTGTAAGCTGCCAAATCTGGCTCGCTTACCCTTTTGAACTATTTGCCAATGATTGCAGTACTTCAGAGGGGTAGAAAAAGGCATGTCACAGTGCTGCCAGCCTTATCCTTTAAAGATTTTAAGGTTTTAACAACACGTTTGAAATACAGTTTTAGAAATTTCTAAATTTACATTCATTAGCAATGCCACTTTAAGTCCAGCAGTACAAACATTAATGTTTGCAGTTATAAATTAAGAGTTGTTGGCCTGCAAAGTCACTTTAACATTCCATTTTTAAAATTATTCACTTTTGGTTAATTATGAGTCTATTAAAGAACTCAATAAATGTACCAGATGGCTTTTTTTTTTGGCTTAAATTAATACAAAATTAACTCTAGGACTGCTTTATTTTAGCTTTTGGAATAAGTGCTCTCATTGTGCTTCTGTTTTCTACAACAAATTATACTGAAACAAAATGTAAAAGGAGCAACAAGATGGAAAATGAGTGACCAAAAATAGAGGACTGGGTTTATTTTAGGCTTGTATGATTAAGCCGGTGTTTAAGGCATGTGATTAAATTCAAGATGTCTGTGAAGTAAAATAATATAGCTTAGTTCACAGCCCAAGAATAAATATCAAATTCAAAAAAGAAAGAAGGGAAAAAGAGATGACACAAGTTGAGACAGTTGGCGCACTATTAATAATAGCTCATCGAGATGTGCTCTACTGCCTTTCCCAAGCGAAGCATGCGGATACCGTTCAGCTCAAAGTTGTCATCATGTCGAAGTGCTTTAATTTTGTTGATTTTATACAAACTAAAATATGAATCAGTCAGTAGAGAACTTCCCATCTGCATTCAACATGGCTACAATCTTAAGTCTATAAAAAAAAAAAGACATAATTTCAAGGTTAGAAAAGTGAAAACAATGACAACAAGCCTTAAACTAACAAATGGCCAGTAGGGGAAAATCCTCTGGTTGGGAAAATGTAATCTGGTTACACTGAAGTAAAAAAAAAAATCATTTGAAGTTTTTTAATGATCTCAGTTATTAGTTTAATTTCTTGTTGAATTCTAGGTAATGTTCATGCTGTAAATTATATCCCATTAAAGGATCATAAAGTATGGTTTGCTATAGGGTGAGCCCATTGTGACCACATGTCTCTCAGATGGTCACACAGGCCTAGAGACTGGTCAGTGAGAAAAAAATGTGTTTTCCCCTGACGGTTAGATGTGGTTGCTGGTAGTTGCTAGGAGAAATTAGTACCCTCCCAAAGATTGGCCATTGTTTGCATGAATGGCACTGACTTGTCTGCTAACACTCGCCTTTTATTCTCTGAGCTATAGTGAACCTCGAGCAAAGTGCTTGCCTTTTACGTTCTGTTTTAGGTTTGTGTTTGACTATAGCTCGGATAGTACGGGTGAGTGTTTGCATACAAGTCGGCGTCTTTCATGCAAACTATAAGCGGCCACCTCTAGTGACCAAAGCAATCATAAGAAAGTTTTTGGTACATTACCATATACCATTTAACGTAGCAACCCCCAGCAACCATTTGCCAATGGGTCAGGGAACACCTGACCCATTGTGCTGGGTGACTTGTGCTGGGTGACTTAGACCTAACATGAGCATGTTTTTCCATTCAAGAGTTGATTCAACTGTTAAAGTACTTCTCAGCTTTTCAAAATATTCTCAACCAAAGAAGGAGGAGAAATAATAGTAGCATCAGCTAAATCACTGACACATTTTTATTTTTGTTTACTGGAGTAAACCAGTACTAAAAAGAATAACGTTTTCACAGACTTGAGAACAAGAAAAACATTTCTTGTTGTCAGAGGTCATGGTGTTTTCTTAGTTTACCCACCACTACAGACAAGAGTTCTTTTTACCTGCAATGGGGACTCGCGTATTTGTTCTGTGCGCCAATCAATAGAATGGAAGACGTGCGAGGACAGAGGTGGGCTGAGGGACAGCAGTTAAACAGAAGGAGTCTTATCCATGTGTGCACAGACGGGCTCTTTGAACACATACAAGCATGCATTTGTACCTTTGCAGCCCCATATACACACAAACACGCCGAGTACAGCTCAGATTAATGACTGAATCAATCACACGCATACAGTGTTTGCTTGTCATCCTGTATGCTTTCCTTTTATAAGACAAGTTCAATTTCCCAGGCTACTGAAGCTCTATCAGCGTTTCCACAGAATATGTATTCAGCAAGGTCATCTCTCACTGCACCAAGAAATTTCCCTGCCACGAGGATGTGTCTTTGCTGTTGA